CAGACTGCATCGATAAATAGACTCCACTGTTGCCAACTTTGTGACTTTGTTGCTATAGTTAACAACTTTTCAGACCAAAAAAAAATTGGTATCATGCAGACTTTTTAGTAAACAGTCAGAAAAGTGCAATCAGTTCACCGCTAATTTTGTGTTTATTTTACTTGTAAATGAGATAACTGCTCCTCATTCCCATCCCTCCTTTGATGAAGCTGATGACGCTTTCATCCAGGAACGTCAACGCTGCCTTCTGCATCAGGACCTCGGCGTAGCACAGCTCAGCGTGCATCTCCTCTGTGACAAACAGACGCAAAACGAAATGTTAACCATATTTACAGTTAAACTGGTGTATGTTCTGCTAGATACCAGCAGAAATAACAACATTTAGCTGAAATGTGAGTAATTTTGTCCCAGAAATCAATGAAAGACTCACCTTCTGTCAAATTATCAAAAGGCTGCCCATGCCAAAAGCTGGCTAAGCTCTCCATTATTCCAGTTTTTCTCCTAAATCTAAGTTGGGAAACAAGATTGGATTATAAAACATCGCAAATACTAAGGAAATGTTCAAAACTGCAACTCAAACAGTTTATCTAATGGGATAAAAGAGTCATTGAACTTAAAATAGAAGATATTTAAATTTAAACCCTTTTTAAAACTACTTCTGTAGTTATTAAGCTGCTTCATTAGTTATTCAGCCGACTTATTTTGTTGTAGAACAAAATAAAAGTGGATTTAATGCTGTGTGCATAAAGGGGCACACTGAATAAAAAGTATGGAGTGATTAAAATCATAGTTGCATTTAATTTTCTTTTGGTTTATATAATATTAATAGAGAGAATCCATAATCACACATCAGCCCTATACATACATGTAACCTTTTCTCCAAAGTGACAAAAACACTATGAAGACAGTAAATCGATTAAATTAAATGATTTATAATATCAAGTCTGAATGTTTTATTTTGTAATGTCTGTCACTTGCTGGAGTATTTTGACTTGTTGGTTGTGATTGGTTCTTTTTCATTCAGTTAATATGCTAATTGGATAAAATGGATCCATCTGTTATTTTCTGGTGCTGTCGTTCATCTGCTTTAAGTTGTGAACTCAGTTGCTTTGCGTATGAAAGACACATGAAATTTCATGCATTTTTGGCCTTATTTGTCTTCCATACACAACGTTAAACACAAATTTAGCAACAGAGTGTGAGATATTAACATTCAACACCACACATTATTGTTCATTCACATAAACATATGCGCTCACGTCGGTTTTACTGCACACTCAGATTGGTGACTCAAAGACAACACCATAAAAATGAAATTTATGAGAAAAACCACGTGAAATGTGAGGATGTGAGGCAAATGCATAAAAAATGACATAAATACACGGATGAGACATGAATAGGGACATTTCTGTTATCAATCAATATACTGATGCGTTTTTCTAGCTTTACCTCTGGCAGGTGTGCAGAGCTTCCTTCAGTGACGCCATGGCAACATCCATGTCCTTGGGGTCAAAGGTCATAGCAGCCTGCATCAGTAAGATGCTGCTGTAGCCCATAGCATGATACATACTGTGGCTCTTTCTGGAGGACACAAACGCTTCAGTAAAATAGGATCAAATGGGATTTTTAAAGAAAAGTAAAATTATTAAATGTGTAAGAAATTAAAGTAAGTTTACATTTTTGCATCTTTTTTTCTGTCACAAAGGAAATCAATTAGTTTTTTTAATTGATTTAGTTTTTCAGTCTGTATAAAAAAATCAAGGATTATGTCACATAATTGTTGATCTAAAACTTTTACCGCATTAAATAGCATTTAAAGAGCCTGGCAAGTCTCACTAATGAGCAAATTTTATTTTTTCTAAGAATTCTGACTTATTTCCTCAAAATTATGTTTTTTTTCCTCAGAATTTCGATTTTAGTCTCAGATTTCTGAGACTAAAGTCAGACTTTTCTCAGTGTATTTAATCCTCTCTCTTCCTAAAAGTTGCTGCTGACATGTAGTTTCCAGAAGAACTCAAAGATTTTCCGACCTGAAAACAGGATTTCTGATTCTGAGAAGTCCCATTTTATTCAAAGATTTTAGTGAACGTCAGAGACTTACCGCGGCTCCAGTGAACTCAAAGCGTCTGCAAACCGGTTGTTCAGAAACAGATGCAGGGCGACGTCACATTCCTCCAGCGCCGTCTCCAAGTCCAGCTGGAGAATTCTGAAATGCAGACAGAGAAAATCAAACATTTCCAAAAATCAGCCTCACATCTTCCATCCTCTTCTTTCCTTCTGAGTTTGGATGTTTATTTACTCAGAACTATAAACTTGTTTTTTTCTTTTTTTCTCTGAATTTTGACTTTTTCACAGAATTTTGACTTTCAGACCTGAATTCTGATGGATATTTTTTAAATTCTCACTTGTTTCCTCAGAATTCTGAATTATTTTTCTCTGATCTTTTTCTCTCCTGTTTTGCTATGAGCCAGTATATTATGACTTTATTCATCTATGTTCATATTATGATGCTGTCTTTGTCAGAGGGAAATATGTGTTAGTAAAGACGCTGAAGGTTTTTCCACAGAGGCACAACCTTCCGGAGAGCAAAGGTCCAGAGAATCTCACGTTCTTATCCTTATGATCCTTTTCCTTCATTTTGTTTCTAGGAAGCCGTTATTTAGTCACAGCTTTTACTCCAAAGCTAAGCTCTCATATTTGGCTGAAAGTTTTGCATTTAGTAAATCACTGATAAATCAGCTAAAGCCCAAATAAAAACTCAAAAAACTCCAGAGAGCATAGAAAATGGGTTATAGAGAACACTTTAAAGAATATATATAAAGAATTTAGTTTACATTACATTTCATTTTAATGAAGCATTTACATTAAATCTTAATTGGTCGATATATTTGATTTAAAATAAAAAATAAAGAATGTTTGGAGAGATGAAACTCTACTTACGTCTCCTCTTCATGTATGTGGTCAACATCCATCTAAAAACCCAGAGAAACACAAAATTAGGAGATTTAGTCGAAACTATCAAAACGTGGCATTTATAAATGGTGTAAAGTTTTTTTCTATCATGGTAAAAAGCCATTGTAGAAAGAAAACTCATTTTGAGATTAATCTCATAAATTTTCTGAAAAACAAGGAAATGTCTGAGCTCCAAAAGTAAAATACCTATAAGAGAAATTTTCATGAACTTTCTAGAAAAAAATGTGAAATTTATGAATTTGAAAATTCAAAAATTTGTGAGAAAAT